TGGAATAAACGGGTAAAGATAATGGATGGATGGATGGATGGATTCCTGAAGAGCTAATATTCCCTCAGCACTGGTTCTCCTCAGGGATGTGTGCTGAGCCCTCTCCTGTTCACTATGCTCAAATATGATTGTGCAGCTACCCATCCAGGCTGTCACATTGTAAAGTTTGCAGATGATACAGTGGTGGTGGGATGCATCACAAACAATGATGAGTCCAGCTACAGGCAGGAAGTGGAACACCTGGAGAGCTGGTGCAGGAAGAACAACCTTCACGTCAATGTGAAGAAGACAAAAGGGATGATCGTGGACTTCAGAAGGAACAAACACACCTACACCCCCCCCTGAACAAAAGAGAATCTGCGGTGGAAGTGGTCTCCAGCTACAAGTACTTGGTTGTGCACCTGAATGACAACCTCAGCTGGGGCAACAACACCACCAGCCTGATCAAGAAAGCTCATCAGAGACTCAACTTCCTCAGGCGGCTGAGATGAGCTGGTCTGGGAAGCTCAGTCCTCACCTCCTTCTACTGTTGTGCAGTGGAGAGCATCCTGTGCTCCAGCATCAATGTGTGGCATGGAGGCTGCACAGCTGCAGAAAGAAAAACTTTGCAGAGAGTGGTGAAGGCTGCACAGAAGTCTGTCGGAGTCAGCCTCCCCACCATCACAGACATTTACACCTCCAGATGCAAGAAGAGGGCCACCTGCATCACGAAGGACCCCACTCACCCAGCACACACACTTTTTGCCCCGCTCCCCTCAGGAAGGAGGTTAAGGAGCATTAAGTGTAGAACCACTAGACTGAGGAACAGCTTCTACTCTTGAGGCTGTTAGACTCATGAATATCTAACCAGGATAGTCACTGTGAAAAAAATTACATCATGTTGCTGCTGATCTGTTTCATGTTGCTGCTGATCTGTTTCATGTTGTTGCTGATCTGTTTCATGTTGCTGTATTCATGCGTGCTCATCTACTCACAGAGACTCATGTTTGTGTTGCTGTTCGGCGTAATGTTTTTATGCTAATAGTGCTTAATGCATATTTAGTTGATGTTTTTCTTAGTTCATATCTTAGATCTTATTACTGTTTTTATTTTACATTTTATTGTTGGATGTCACTGGGACCCTGTGTACATAATTTTGTTCCACCACATGAACCATATGGGGTGCGTATGACAAATAATGTAAGTAAGTGATCTTTATTTATGTAGCACCTTTCACAGACAATAACATCACAAAGTGCTTCACAAGCAAACAAAAAAGAAAAAGTAAACAAAATTTAACTAAAAGCCAATCTGAATAAATAAGTCTTAAGATCTTTTTTAAAAGAGTCAGTGGAATCTGAGCAGTGCAGTGACAGAGGGAGAGCGTTTCAAAGCCTCGGGACCACCACTTGGAATGCTCCTCAAGAACCTTGAATCCTTGAATCCTTGAAAAGTGCAAAAAAAGTTTGTAGTATTGATAGTCTATCCAAATTTTCTGGAAATTGAGTGCAACTGAAAGTGTATATAGAAATTCTATCATTGTTTTAATGTTGTATATAATGTTGTATTATCTTATTTACAAACTCATCATATTCGTATTCAGAAAATGGCGCTACAACTACATGCTTGTATGAGACATTTGAAACGATTCTTTAATTTTTAATGCAGTGTTTGAGCAGCAAAATGGCACTCATCTCAAAACACTTAACAGAGTCATTTTTTATTTATAGAGTGATGCATAATCATGTTTTTCTTCTTTTTTTTCCTTTTATCAAAATCCCATTAAATCATATAAGTGCATTAAGCCCTATTTTCTTCATAATTCAATTTGCTTAATCATTAACAATTCATCATGTAGGTTAACTGTCAGAGGCCTTAGCAAAGGAAACCATTTTTACTCAAACATCCACAGATTTTCTTTAATATAGGCCAGGCTTGATGTGGCTTCTGCTACTTTGAGTTGTCAACACTGACTTGAGTTAGTCCTTAGATGCCATGGGAGCGAGCAGATCAATGCAGCTTATTGATCCATATTTCCAGGTGGAGGAGATGGGCAATAGCCCTAAAATAATTGAATAAACTAGAAATAAACATCAGTTTCCTGTGGCACAGAAGGTCAAGTCTGATGGTGTCTTTGTATTTCTTTATTTTCCTAAAATACATTTAGGGTTAGTGAAGGATAAATTCAGTTTTTTATATGTTCCAACGTTAAAACTGAGCGTTTTGTGTTAAAAAAAAAAAAAAAAGCTCCTTGATGAATAGGCTTGTTTAGCTGATGTGTTGACATTTTATAAAACAGAAACCTGTATCGTGTTGTTGTCGTTTAAAAGCTCAGAATTCAGTTTTCAGTGGTCTTTTCTCAAATTTCTTACTTTATTGATCAGTTATTTACTGTTTCAGTCATTTTCAGAGTATTTATTTTAGAACTGTTAAACTTAATTTTTATAGTATTTTGAATTAGATTTAAATTTAGCGGAAGCTATTTCCGCTAAAGGTATTCAAAGTTAGCGAATATGCTAATATGCTAAACGGAAAGTTAGCTCCGCTATTAGTGGATTAGCGAAACCGTGCCCACCACTGGTGCTTCTTTCTTCTCTTTATTATAATTGTTTCAGAACTGTTTTGGTCTCTTTACTAAATATTGTGTTACTGTTTATATTACTGGAGTTGATAATGATTTTTGTGATGGTTATAATTTTACAAAAAATTATTTTTGGGAATCTAAAAAGACATTGTTGTATGTTCCTATAGCAGAGCCCAGACCGTGTGGGTCAGAGCGATGCTGTGTATGAGGTGGTGAGTCTGCAGAGAGAGGCAGACAGAAATAACAAAGGAAGCGAACAAGTCGTGTCACCCAATGAAGAAGAGGAGGTTGATGAAGGTTTGGTCTCATGTTATTCATTTTTCTTTTTTGTTTTTTTGTTTTTTAATGTTTAGTGTTAACTTTATCAGAAGGTTATTGCCTCAAATACACATGTGCACTTACATTGACTTGACTTCATTGTCTAAACTGAAAATGGGTCTTAGAATATGTTGCACCTAACACCTCTCATGTCCTTTTGTATTGTCTGATGTGTCAAAGAAAATTGAGTAAAGTCACACTCACCAGTAGAGATGCTCCAATCCAATACAAATATCGGTATCGGTTTCGATATAAAAAAAACCTTCTGGATCGGGTATTGGTGACAATGTTACCGATCCGTGACTGGGCAGATCTATTCACTCTAATTCTATGCTTCGTGCTCTGAGTGACGTCACGCACTAGCGAACTCGCCACACAGATTGTTTTCACAATTGAGCAAGCGAAAGGATCAGCCATCTGGAACTATTTCACACTACCTCAGCCAACACATTCGACAGCTACGTCGTGCACAGCAACTGTTTCAAGGGGTGGCACTAAAACTTCCACCTATAACACTACCAACTTAATCAAGCATCTCCAGAGATTTCACCCTAAAGAGCACGCTGAGTTTGTTGAACGGAATTCAGCACTGGTTTTCTGTATCAGGTCGGTATCGACAGGCACTAAACCGCGAGTATCGGTATCGGAAGTGAAAAAAAAAAAAAGTGGATCGGTGCATCTTTACTCACCAGTTGCTTTTTCTCTGTCTTTGGTTAGTGAAACTTTTTTTTTATTTTTTTTTTTTAGTTTATCATGTTTCCAGCATTGCAGCGTGAAATATTCACCAACACAACCTCTGCATTCCTCTGCAGCAAGCCTTTTTCACGAACCAGTGCGTTCACTTTAGTGACAGGCATACATCAGCAGTGAAGCTTAATTATGTTAGACAAGTAAACACTGGCTTGGATGTGTACAAATACATGCTTGTTGTTACTGTTCGTGCACTGTGCACAGAAGTGAGGCACAATTGCAGGAGGGTTTGGATAGGTATTTGTGTGATTGCGTATGTTGGAATGTGCTCGTTTTTCAAGAAAAGCCCAGCCCAATTCTGTAAAGACTTGTTGGCTTATAGCACTACAGCTTTGCTGTGTCAAACACAATCAGACAGACTTCACATGCCCTCTTCTGGATGAAGTAAACAGCCTTCTTCCGTCAGGGACACCAGCTCAAGAGGGATTGTTTGATAACACCATAGCTCTTTGTAATGTTTCTGATGTGTTTTATTACCAATATTTCTTAATAAGTAGAAACATTCTGCTGTAAAATTATATAAGTACAACAGAAACTTGCAGTTTTAGATTTTCTTATTCCAGTTGTAACTTTTGTCTATTGGCGCAATCAGAACATCTGGCACAAACCGACCTAAGTCTGAACAGTGATTCATCATCTTTGTGTCTTGATAAAGTTGGTTAAATCTATAAACATGACCCATTTACAAGACACACCAGAGTAGAGTGGATATTTTGCCGCAAGTAAAAACTGCATTGCCAAACGACTGGAGGCAAAAAGCAACTAATATTAACAGCCCCTGCTAGACTCCAGTGGTTTCCAAACATGACCCAGTTTCAACCTCACCAGCAGCTACAGGAAGTCCTGCAGGCGCCTCCTGACTATAACTCTGACTTTGCGCTTTATGATAAATATTTATTTATTGACCGACTGAGTGTTTGTGCATGTTTATATCCGCGGAGCGAGTATTCCAAATCCAGCTTTCACAGCACGGTAGAAAATAGTTTCCTGCAGCAAAATTGATTAAAATGAAGATAATCTAATTGTTTGTTAAATATAAATATATATATTCACAAGAGATGCTACAAATCTTTACCATGGCATCCAAAGACAGTCCCTTAAACAAGATTACATTTTATGAAGAGTGTCCAAGTGGACTGCTAAAAGTTAGGGCTGAACGATTTTGGAAAATATTCTAATTGCATTTTTTTTTTTTACCTCAATTAATATGCAATTTTATTCAATGTCTTCTTCTCATGTATTTTTCAACGAACACAAGCAATAAATCAATCTGTTTCAGTTGCAAAAAACTCCACTGTTTTCAGCTCCGCTGCTGTTTCTGCATTTATTGTGTAGCTCTGAGATAACAACTTGGCTAAAATGTGTGCGCGAGGGCATTCTGTATTGCTTATCCATTGTGTTTACCAAAGCCGTAAACCCAGGCTTGGTATTAATGGGCATCATGTCTTCTGCTATGAACTCCGTTACTGCTAGTTATTTCCACGTGCCGTTTCGAATCATGTTCATACGGAGTAATACCTTCGAACAGTTCGGTCAGTGATCCCTATTGGCTGGTACTTTGCTTACTTGAAGTTGAAGCACTGGTCGTTGGCATTCTGGCCATGTAACTATCTTAAATGGCTTTGTGGTGTTTTTTTAATTGTTAATAAAGATTTGTGGTGTTACCTCGAGAGGTAGCAACAGCAGCAAGGCAGGTTCTGCACAGTACATGTCGTTGCACAACGTCTTCTTTTTTATGGCCAAAATAATTCCAAACAGCGGACGTGCTTGCCCCTCTTTGGTATAAAACTTTCAGATGTGTCAGCTTCTGTCGAGCCTGACGCCATTGTTCAACTGGTTAAAGCGCAGTGTTGACTTCTCCTGCTCTCTGCTTTGTGCTGCTCGGCTCAGCCGCAAGTCACGTAACCAGATCACGTGACCAGTCAAACTGCAGCCTTTGCGATTAAAAAAAAAATCTCATTTTATCATATTGCGATATTATTGCAAATGCAGTTAATTGTTCAGCCCTACTAAAAATTAATGTACAAATCTTAATTGTTTATGTGCTCTATTTGCAGGCATTTGTTGCAAATGCAAAAATAATTTTCATAAAGCAACATCAAGCATTAGAGAAATATGTTTGTCTTTTGTTTTGCACATTTCTCGCATTCATTTGTCACTGTAAACTGTTTTTTTAAGCTTTTTCACCTTAAAGCACTAAAAAGTATTAACAGAAAAGCAGAGAAAATTTGTGTCTTTTGTGTCATTGTGCCGACTCACCTGAACTCATGAGGCAGCCGCCAAGGCTGCAGCTGAAACCTTTCAGCTGGCACTGTGAGAGACATTCAAAGGACTTTTTCTGTTAACCCCCCCCCCCCCCCCCCAAACACCCACTCCTCCTTCTCTTCCCCGACAGCTGAAAATTGGAGACGCTTATAGGGCCGTGAAGCTGGAGGTCATTCTCATTGTGTAAAGAAATGAATACACGCCCAAAGTAGATGCCACAGCTGGGTACACACATTCAATTCATGTGGATTTTCTTTCCTCAGCCAAACGTGCAATGCAGAAAATGTGCGTGGTTTTTATTTTTTCACCATTTTTGTCGGACTAAAAAAAATAAAACATTTTTATGCAGACATATTTATGATCATAAGCATCCTTGAATATGTCCATTCCCTCTGCTTTACTGTAACAATAAGTGTACAGTTTTTCTCAATGCAGTAAAGTAATCCTTCAGTAAATATGACATCCCTCGCCTCATTTAAAGGTTCATTTCTCACCAGTTTTGGCCGCAGTAGCTTGGTGGTTGTGTCGGAGTCTCTTAATCCTGAGGCTGCAGGTTCGAACCCAGGTTAAGTGGCATCCTAACAGTTGTAAAACAATTGCCAAATCTTTTGTGTGAGTTTGTTCACAGTGGCAACCCCTGCAGAGGAGAGCTGCTGAAAGAACAACTCCCCCCCCCCCCCCCCCCCCCCCCCCCCAGTTCCTTTCACTACCTGGTATCTTGGCTGCAGCTTTGGATTCATTTCTTTTTGCCACGAGGCCTAAGAAGAATCGGACGACAGAAGCAGAAGCTTTATTCAGGGTCTGAAATATTTGAAAGGCCTCATCAAGCATTTATAAAGACCTGAAAAGCTCCTGCTGAGGCTGTGAGGATGTGTTGCAGCCACAGTGCATTCATTGTAGCTCTGCTTTACTCATTTCAAAATGTCAAGGCCTTAAGTGGAAGTAAATAATGCCTTCAAACTCCTGTAATGAGTGCTTCTGTTGAGTTTTATTGTTGAAATATCAGTAAAGCTTATTCCTGCACAGTTCTTAGTCAATGTGCTAATTTCATGGCTGAACCATTTGATCTAGCATCACCGGAGTTAAAAAAAATATTTGAAAATGTAAAATATGGCATTGCGTATCTTGTATAAGGTACTTCAAAGGTGCTCATTCCATTTGTTGTGAAGGACCATTCAAAAAGAAATTAATACATTAAACCTAACCTGCGCATTACTTTTTATTATATTAATTGTTAACGTGTCCCTAAATTAAAATTGGCGAACGACTGCTAACTACCACATTCCTTGATTACATACAAAAACAGCTGAAGTGACTAAAAATAGGTCAACAATTTCGCTGTGGAAGATCAGTTTAGGATTGATAAATCAGTCAAATTAAAGCAGAACTGCATCATCAATATAAATATAACAAAAACTTTAGTGTAAACACTTTCAAATCTTTCTTTTTTAAAACGATTGTGACTACATTACTCTCTTCAATGAAATTTATTATTAGAATGACATTTTTAACACAACACAGACACTTATTTTCATCTACCGGTATGTGATATAATTAATAATATATTTAATAAAACATATTATTTTTAAATATGCACCATAAGTACTTTGAGACTACAATTATGGGATTTTAGTCTCAAATCAGTTGGATTTTATTTATTTTGTTTGTATTTTACTGCTAAATACCTGATAATACTATCACTAATCATTTGCAATAGTATTTGTGTTCCTCTTTGATCTCCATTTTTTCAATTCAGTGTGAAATACAGTTTAACATCTGTTCTTTTGAAGCATTTAGAAAAAGCTGTAACAATGTTACAGTCTGGCTTTGAACACAAGTGGCTGGCCGAGCTGATTGCCTCTTGTCTGCCTCACGAAGCAACAGCCAGGAGAGCAGCAATTATGGAAGGTGTAGGCACCGCACAGGCACTCCTGCCTCCATTAACTGTGTGGGCTCAGCAACGGCAAGCTTTAAATTGCAAAATACATATCAAAATTGGTTTAGATTGATCTATTATTTAGTACGTGATATATGTGTCGCAATTATTAAATAATTGTTGTTCCAGTTGAGTGATAGCTCTTTTGCAGCTGCCTGTGTGATTTCTGAATTTGGCATATGACCTAAATGAGGTTAAAATGTTTTGGACCTCTCTCGTCAGAATTAGTCATTCCTCTCGAGAGAAGTGTTGAAGCTCTAACAATCCTAAACAGCATGTTCTCCTGACTTTAATTACGTATTCATAAATAAGTACAATAACCGTACGTGTGCAGTTATGCATCATGTCAAAATGTTTGTGTTTGTACCCACGTGTTGAAAGGTTGCACAAACTTGTGAGCATTTATTAAAATGTGTGTTTCTTTTGTTTTCCTGCAGATAGTGACAGTGAAATCTCCAGTGGGACTGGAGACGTTTCTAAAGATTGTCCTGAGAAAATTCTGGAGTCATGGGGAGGGATGCTCAACAGATGGTAGGGCATCGATCAAAACACCGTTTAGACAGTGATCATTGCAAAACACGTTAGGCTTGAGAGACTTCTGAAATCTAGGCAGGAGGAGGATGAACTAAGTTTAGAGAGAAATTTTAGGGTTTAAATAATGAAAACTACGTCAGAAATATTGGAATTATTTTTTCATTCAACCTTTATTTATACAGGTTAGTTCCCATTGAGCCTCTAGGGCTCATTTACAAGAGAGACCTGTTACAGACAAACAAACAAAAAATAGATAAGGAAAAGAGAAACACGAGGGGAGGGGAGGTAAAAAAAAAACCATATCTCGCACTATGTCCTGGCCGGGGCACAGTGTGAACGTTGCAATAAAAGCCCTTGCACAGAAAGAGCAACATACTAATGACATCATAATATATTTATGCGTGAATAGGCTGACAAAAGCGGTGAGTTGTCTGTGGACACTGTCAGAAAGTTCCATAGTCCTGATAAGAGATGGCACAGTGTCTATCAGCTGGCTCAGCTCTGATACAGGTCCACAGATGTCCTCGGGAAGGAAGCGGGTGGGGGGGCTTCTTGTTCACATAACTTCCAGGAGAAATTTGAGATAGTTGGCTTATTCAAGGCCAAGCGGGGAATCCAGATTCAGAACATTTGTTTGGAATTATAACCTTCTTACGAAGCTTGAAGCAGGTAGTGTGCACTGCTGTCAAATGTGATTTTTAAAATCCATCCTACTTGATGCTTTCTAAAGTAATTTACAGTACTGCGCAAGAATCCACTTCATAGTAGTTGAGACTGATCCCCAAAGCATACTCTGTGTGTTAACAGATTGCACAAGATCGTTGTTTAAAATTTTGCCACTAAGCATTTTGAGTTAACTTTATATGTTAGTAAATTTTTTAATTAACCACTGGATGGTTATTGATAACATTACATCTACAAGTGCCAACCCAGTACATGGTAAGTGACTTTAGCCAACACAAAAATGACTATAGCTTCATAGAATAAAGCTATGAATAATGTGGAATAATTCATATCTGATTTGCAACACGGATCAAAAACCCACAGCATTAGACACATTGTTAACTGAACGAGAGATTTCATACACCTTATTTGAGTTCAAGCTGTTTTCTTAGTGTTGCTTCAGCACATCGAAGTGAACTTTTTGGGAAATTGCTTTTACATGGCTTTACGAACGCATCGTTAGTAGATTTCAAGCATCATTAAATGCAGCTGACTTTGTGTTTTAAAAGAATTGCTTTTGTCATGCGGGAGCACAGCCACTAATATTCCAGAATACTACAGAATAGGACTTGTTATTAGTGGTAAAGCTATTAATAATTTGATATTCATTTGTATATAGTGGTTGCTACCGCTATAATTTAGACTGTTGGTATTAAAGCAGAAATTCAGTGCCAAACTTACTACTATAACCAGGATTAGAGCTAATCAAGGTTAGTGCATTTGTGAGGCATGTTGAACTCAAGTGACTGTAGAAAAATTGTAAATTAATGTAAACATATGTAGGAGTTGTGTTGACATGGGCAGCCCTTAGTGTAAAAGTTTATTTAAATGATTAGCAGTCAGTCCTGTCTATATAAGTTTATTGTAAAATAATATTAATAATAATGGTCACACTGAAAGGTCAAAATATAAAACACTTTTGTCAGATTTGTATTGCTGCACTTCAGAACAATAAAGTTGTGTCTCTTGTCTGTCTTTTGTGTGTCAAGGCATGGAAACCTGTCCACTCGTCCAAAGGGTTTACCCTCATTGGTTCGCAGTGGCATTCCTGAACCACTCAGAGCCGAAGTCTGGCAGCTGCTGGCCGGTTGCCACGACAACCATGACCTGCTTGAACAGTACCGCATCCTCATCACCAAGGTAAATGCTCTCAATCATGAACTGGTAGAGGAATACTTAAGAGATTGAATTAATGTTTCATCATCACAAGCTAAGCTCATCTAGCATTTTTAACACTTTGTGTGTACATAACAAAAGTTCAAAAAATATCATTTATTATATGATCTTAGGGTTGGAATGGCAGTAATTGAAAGTCCAAGCTTATCAACCTAGAAACGGTTAACAAAAGCAGTGAGTTCTTTAGGGTAGAAAACTGTTGAGTCAGTGAGTTGCTGCGAGGTCATGCCACTATGATTAAAGTATTTCTCTTTTGTGTGTCTACTAGTTTGTCCCAACAGCGGTGACACTGCCATTTGTTCGAGCTGTTTCTCTAAACTGTGTCAAGTCAGAGATCGCATCAATTTAGCTGTGACATTTAAGTGCCTGTGCTGCCGTCCTTTGACCATTACAGCTCAAAGTGACCTTTTGTTCTCTCTTAAAGCTCGCTAAAATTCAAAGTGAATTTTAAGACCTTTAGTATATAGTGTGCTTTAGATTGTGCTCACACAGGCTATAGCCGGGGTTTAACCTTTTAGTTGCAGTTGGTTGGAGAGTAGAGTTGTCATGGTGCCGTTACTCAAGGTTTTCCATACATTTTCAGATAATCTGTCAATATTTAGTGACAGTCATCAATTGTGTATTACTGACATGTAAATTTTAATTTGCTCTATAAAAGTGAGTTGGTACTTGAAAATTGTAGTTTTATTTTAAATTTTTGAAAAAGCAAAAAGTTAAAAACAGCCAAAAACAAAAAAGGAGGCTAATAAGTCATTTGGGCTAAAGTAAAATACCTCTTGATTTTTAGTGATGCTGAGTTCATGAGTATATGAATATATATATATATATATATATATATATATATATATAGAATAATACAAACATATAAATATAAAGATA